CAGGTCAGGATATTCTAACATTAAGATGTTTTCCAGATTATAATTCATATTTAACTTTTCAAAAAACCGATTGGTATGTAAATAGTAAACATCTTTTCAAAAATGTGATGGGTTTGCTCGTAAAATTACCTGAAGCGCTAAGAAAGTATAAAGATGAAGTCTTACAACCATTAATTAACACAAAATGTTTACTATCCTGCGACGATCCCGCAACAAACGAGCGAAACTTGACAAACGATTTAAGGAACACGGAACGCATAAAATGGGTCTGGAAATGAGCGGTATGAAAGCAAGAAAAATGGATCAAATCATAGGAGATTATTTAATCATTTATAATTGCCAGGAATATAAAATTGCTTGCTAGCAATGGCCTTGCCTATTGCAGCGATGGCATGTGTAAGAAGAAGGAACGTCTCCCATTTGATGATTTTGTCCATGTATGCGCAGGTAACTGTAAAACAATAAGTGCTCCTTGAGTGCTTGTTGGCTTGGGGGGAGCGGGTGGGGAAAAAGCCTGTTGGTTTCATAGTTTCCATATTTTTTCAGTAAACATATTACCAAAAATAATTTGATCATTTTATATTTTTCTTGCAGGATTTTTTTTATATTTCACGAACATGTCGGCTCCCTACGATGCATGGTTTAATAGGGAATTTACAACAAAAATTGAAGGAAAGTCAACATAGAGCGATATCAGAACGGCAACAAACCTCATCAACTTCGGACAGTGTCCCTGTCCAGAATACGACAAGTTTTATTTATTTTTATGACCACGTAGTCTTTTGTGTTTTGATAGATACAATTCGTTCCCGAAAATGTTTTGGAAGTTATTACAGAGGTGCCATTATAAAAGGTGCAGTTCAAAATAGATTCCACTAGTTGATAAGCGTTTTGTTTTTCCATTCAATAAACATTTATTTCACTTTGACTAGCAATTTTTATTTGTTCATTTTACAGATTCTTTTTAGTACATGTAGATAACCTAGCCTAAATTCTCCTAAGTCATAACCACATTGCCCTTGTTTTCCTTACTGTAAGTATAGGTAATGTGGCTGGTTCCTTTTTGCTAAACGCGGTCCAATTATTCTTGATGTTAAAATTAATTGAAGACTTTGCCTTGCCCCTGGCACTGGAAACGTGTTTAACGGTTGCCTGAACATAGGTCTACAGGCGCATTTTATCGAAAAATGCGTGTTTTCTATCACTCGGAGGCTTTTTGACACCGAGCACACTGTCTGACTAAAACTAAACCAGGGTTAAAATGTGTCCTAAAGCTTCTTTGATAACATTTCAAAAGCTCGTTTTAGTTAGATGATGTGCTCGGTGTCAAAAAAGCCTCTGAGTGATAGAAAACATGCATTTTTCGCCTAATTGCACCTGCAGACCTATGTCAAGGCAACTGTTTAACACGTGTCCTATGGACCATATCATGATTATTTCCGTAAAGTACATTGAGTCAACTTGGAAAATCCGCATAAATTTCCAGATTCGGGGGGGGGGGGGGGGGAAGCCCTTATCGATACCCCTCCGTTGGAGACCACCTTTACATTTTTCTCAATGTGCTGACATCCTGAATGGCCATCTCTCACTTTTTATTTTGAAGAGTAGAAATTACGAATGGCTGGTCGTATGATTTTTATATGCTTAACGTACATCCATTTGCTTTATTTTTATTCCTGTTCAGTCCGTATTATATTAAAATAATTTATTTCTCTTCTTTATTTCTGTTTAATTTCCGTTGATGCTATCAGCAATTAGTTAAAATATTTGATTGGTTTGATTAGCTTTATTCTTATTTTTTTGTTTTCCTTCTCAGAGGATTATTCGCTCGCTTGATGATTTAGTAAGACGCACAAAAAATACAAAGACAGTCAAAGAGTCCGAAGATGAACGAGCTCAACGCAAAAGAAGGAACCGCATGAACTGCCGAAATTAACAGTCACCAATTTGCTGTCTTGGGCAAACGTCAAAGACTCCAAAGGAAAAAAGATCCCGCCCAAAAAAAGGATTCAATTCCATTCAATGACCCGCCCAAAAAACTCCGAACTCCATCCCAAGACCCAAACCACACCCCGGGCACCCCTACTTCGCAGACGCGGGATAGGGAGGATGCCCGAAACGGCTCCCCGGCCTACTTCACCCCCCTAGGCACGGTAGCTAGTCAAATAATAACCCTGGAGGACAAGATTAGAAGGTCCAACGACGCTATGCGAGACTTCCTCCGGGAACAACTAACGGACGTGACACCTGCAGGTCGATTGTTGAATCGTTATCGAATGACCTTGATCGATAAATAGCATTGTAAAGATAGGGATTTGTCGATCAAGTCCATTCGATAACGATTCAACAATCGACCCGCTGGCAAAAGGACGTTCCAGATGTGCAGACACTCGGACAGCTCGCTGTCGAGCAAAAACTCGCCGACACCTCAAGTTAAACGCCATTACGATGACAAATCTGTAGTGCAGGAGGCGTACGAGCTTGTCGATAAGGGGGTTCGGATTGTTGAACAACTCCGCTCGTCCTTTAGCAAACTTCGATCCGAAAGTGGAAAGTACTCATGGAAGGAGTTCATGGACACCGACAACCCTCCGTTGGACGAGGTAATTGAAAACCAACAGAGACCGGGAGCCATGATTCTCGGGAGGTCGGGGAGAAACGAAGGCTACCCTGATCGCCTGAAGCACAGGGAGAGCGGGACCCAGACCAGCCGGCCTCCTGGATGTTCCTGTGTCGCCATTCTCGAAGACGAAGAGGACAACGACGAGAACCTAAACAATCGGGTGAACCCGCGGGGAGGGCCTGAAGCCCCCGAACCGCCCCACGGCAACTCCATTACTTCTTGGGGAAGAACAACAATTTAAAGAAATCAAAAAAAAATTGTACAATGGTTCAATTTACAGCCCATATTCTACACTTGAGAGACAATTCTTCTTAGGTAATTCTCAACAGAGGTTTTAGAGGGCGCTGAGCCATCTAGAATTAAGTGAAGCACTGCAGAAAGTTGAGCCAACAGCACCTCTGTTCCAAAGGAGGGGTATCGATAAGGGCCTTTTTTGGCCTCCTAGAATCTTGAAATTTATGCGGGTTTTCCAAGTTGACTCAATGTAGTTTACGGAAATAATCATGATTTAGCCCATAGGCCACTGGATACGAGTTAAATGGTTGCCTAAACATAGGTCTGCAGGCGTATTTTAGCGAAAATTCGTGTTTTCCTATCACTCCGAGGTTTTTTTGATACCGAGCGCGTCGTCTAACTAAAACGAGCTTTTGATATGATATCAAGGAGGCTTTAGGACATTTTTTAAGCCTGCTTTGGTTTTAGTTAGATGATGTGCTCATAGTTAAAAAAAAGTTTTCAAAATTCGACGTTTAAGGGATACATCCGCAAAAATCTTAGGGAATTGCGTCTTTAGGGTTTTTTTTTTGCTACGACTGAAGAAAATATCCTTGTAAGGGTTTAACAAGGCTTGATAACTGCCCTCGATAATATACGTAGCGTCCATACAGTTTGAGAGACGTGTTCCCTATGATTTTTGCGGATATATCTTAAACGTCGACTTTTGAAAAAGTTTTTTTTTTTAACTATGAGCGCATCATTTAACTAAAACCAAACCAGGCTTAAAAAATGTCCTAAAGCCTCCTTAATATCATATCAAAAGCTCGTTTTAGTTAGACGATGCGCTCGGGGTCAAAAAAGCCTCGGAGTGGTAGAAAAACACGAATTTTCGCCAAAATACGCCTGCAGACCTATGTTTAGGCAACTGTTCAACACGTATCCAGTGGCCTATGGGCTAAATCATGATTATTTCTGTAAACTACATTGGGTCAACTTGGAAAACCCGCATAAATTTCCAGATTCTAGGAGGGGGCCAAAAAAGGCCCTCATCGATACCCCTCCTTTCAGGCCTGCTCTGTAAGTATAATGAAGGAGAGAACAGAAATTTAGCACGCTATGTGAATCACGTAGAGCATTGCAATGCACAGGAATCAGTGGCTATCTTTGAGCAAACTCCATTACTTATTGGGGAAGAACAATAAAACAATTAAATAAATAACGTACAATGGTTCAATATACAGCCCATATTCTACAGTTAAAATTGCGCTGGTCCCCATCACAGGTTCAAAGTTGGAATGGCTCGCTTACCCAGGTAGAAGGAACTGTCACCCTTAAACTCAAAGTTGGCAACCTTGCCTCCGATGAAAAATGTTATGTTGCACATAACATATGAAGAACATATTTGTGTGTAAGCACTAATTGACAAATGAATATGTGTATTCTACATAAGTGTTAAGAGACAATTCTTATGCCCCTCTCAATGATGGGAGGTTCATAAGGATATTATGTTAATTTTCTTACTCTATGAATCAAGGTTTTATAATTGCTAGAGAAGTTTTGCTTAAGAAAAAGGACACCTCAGGGCGCTTGGTTATGAGTCAAGCTCTTTTTCATTTGAAAAACTTTCATTTAAAATGTTCCCAGCCATATATCTATGGTAAAAACCTCCTTGTTATTCCTGCATCACAAATAATAGAAAAAATGTGTTTTTCTAAATGATGAGGAAAATAATGCCTTCATTGGTTTGCTCCTAAATAGAGCTATTAGAGATTGATTCATTATTATTATTTTGTTTTAAGTAATTCACAAAAGTAATAAGTAATTATGTATACTTAAATTGTTGTATCTTAAAACGTTTAGTGTTTTTCTTTCTGGAATTATTGTATATGGACCATCTGAAAGAGTCATCTTGAGATGAGATTTCTTTCATGTCATTAAATTCTTTAGATATACCAGCCCTTGCAGCCCCGCAGCTTCCTCCCATATAGTTTCAATTTTTGTATTCCTTGTACGTCCCAGGGTGTATGAAGATCCGTCATTTCCATTTAGGCTACTTAATGGTTTGTATTGATGAAATCGACAGATCTCCTATTGCAGTCTGTGTATTCAGACATATCCTGTGTGGAGCTCAACATCCTATCTGTTCTATGAGTTGAATTAATTTTGCAGTAAGGATCTTAACTCCATATGTATTTTGACTGAAACGTTTTGTTTTTCTTCTATGTGTTTCAGGGGCACAAGAAGGCAGCTAGTGCCATTGATTTTGCTTTCTCCGTTTTGAGTAAACTTGACAGCGACCTTCAAAAAAGGGTGTCTGTAGCACATATACTGGCAATAGCAGGTAAGATGTGTTCCGGCTTTTCTACGGTTTGTAATCAAGAGTGGGGATAGCCACCCCTGGTCAAGAAAAAGACCTTGTAATGCAGAAGTATAAGCAACAACCATTCAGCAAACCATGTTTTAAGATAACAACCTAACCTAGGGAAAGGCTGCAAAGGCATAAAATATGATAAACTAATAAGGACTCGAGGACGTTTTGAAACAGCAACTCTCGTCCTCTGGCGGGAAAAAATAACTGAGAAATGAGGTTATCGATTTGCCAGCTAAGACTTATTAGAAAGGCAACGGAACCAGCATAGTTCTGTATAAAGAAAACTGGTAAAGTTTTATTAACATCGGTGAATGGGAACCTTTTTTGTTCAAACATAACATTTCAAACCCCCTGACGGTATCTCTTACTGGAAAATACCTCTTGGGTGTTTTCCTACTTACATAAATATTTGTGAAATAAAAGGGGCATATGTATTTTGACTGAAACGTTTCGTTTTTCTTCTATGTGTTTCAGGGGCACAACAAGGCCTCAGAAGCAATAGAGTTCGGTTTCCAGGTGTTGGGACGCCTAAGTAAAGATTCTCAAAGTAGAGTCTCTCTGGCGCACGCCCTTGTCATTGCAGGTAAGATGTGTTCCGGCTTCTCTATGGTTTGTAATCAAGAGTGCGGGTAGCCACCCCTGGTCAAGAAAAAGACCTCGTAATGCAGAGGAATAATGAACAACCATTTAGCAAACCATATTATAAGATAGCAATCTAACTTAGGGAAAGGCCGCAAAGGAAGAAAATATCATAAACTAATTAAAAACAGAGGACGTTTTGAAACAGCAACTCTCATCCTCAGGCGGAAAAAAATAACCGAAAAACCCCGGCTATTTTTTGCATCGGCAATTTGGTACACTTAAATTAGATGATCGACATAAATAACATCCAGTCTACTCAGGATCATACAATGTAATAGTAATAGAAGGCGTTAACTCAGAAATTGAGGTTAGAGGTAAAATTGCATCTGTACAAAATGATTGGCTAATGTCATACGTTTCATTCAGTCATTTGAAATTTCTTTTATACATCTGTGCTCACAGAGAAGCCATGATATCACTTTCATGAAAAGAGCGTTACAATTTAATCATTACCTGTTACATAACTTACCCATTAATGAATGTATATTAAACATTTTTGATGTACACAACGTTATCAAGTGATTTTACCGACTAGGAGTCTATTGAGATAGCCTCATCTCTTGTCTGCAATTGACCCATTCTAGAAACAGATAATCTGATCCGACAAAGTAATATTGCTTATGAGAATAAATACTTCCATTTTTTGGAACTTGTCAAAAAAAATGTCTTTGCCTTTGAAAAAATATGTCTCTCATAATTGAATAGTGTCTTGCAAAGACCGCTAATGTCCATTTTTTTTAATTTTGAGATTTTTGGGTTAAAACACCCTTGGAGGTTAAACACATTCATTGATGTGGTGAACATGTTTGTTTTTTACCTTTGAGCCCCTTTCAAGGAAGGATCCTTGGTTGCAAATCGTGCATAAACCGCTAATGTCCATCTTCCGCAATATGCCTCATAATTGAAGTAATGTTTGATTTAAAATCATGATAAAATTAAATACCACCCTCTAATCTTTTAATTGAGACTGTTAGGGTAAGAAACCCGAAAACTTTTTGAGCTTTACAGCGACTTGGCCACTCACAGAGTCAAATAATGACTCCTCCAATGAAGAGAATGATGAAAGCGAGTTAGGAGATGCTTTAAGAGGTTCCCCTTATTGTTTTTGTTTATTTTCATTGTTTGTCGTTCTACAGATACTTATTTTTAATTTTTCAATACAAACTGTGCTTAAAAATATGCGTTATTAATGTTTCATAACGGTCCACGTGCAAATTGTGCGAAAACCGCCAATGTCCAGATTATCGCTGTTAGCTTCGAGATGAAACTTGTTATAAATGTTGAAAATGTCAAGAATTTTATTTTAATTTTTTTATTTGAATGATAATCTACAGTTTTGATCTCTTTAAAATGAATTTTGAAGATTTCAAACAGCTTCAAAACTCTGAGATTTTTTTGTTTCATGCAAAAACCACTAGTTCCGATATCCTTTGTTTTTAATTACTCCGTCCTGGAAGGAAGAGGAGCTGGAGACGGTTAGGGATCTTTTTCTAAAATCCACTCCTGTAATTATTAACTTCTTAAATTAACTTCCTAAACTTCTAACTTCCTAAAATTGGAGAAAATGGGCATTATCGGTTTTCGAGCTACACGATACAATTTTGCTCAGGACCGCAATTAAGTATCCACGTGCATAAAATGTACCTTGATTTTCAAAATTACAGATTTATTGTCTCATTTTACTTTTTTAAGGAAAAAAACAGTGACATTGATGTTTAGAAATTTTACTCTTTTTCTTCAATCCTGTGCAGAATATTCTAGAAAACTTTTAAAAACTTACATTCATAGATTTCTCTCTACAAAAATAAACAAAAAGCTGAAATTTTAAAAACCTTTGCAATCAAGATACATGTTTAGCAACTGTGTAAAAGAAAACAAGAACTGAAAAAACCCTAGTTTTCGAGTTCAATGAAATTTAATCTTCCGCGATTCGACCATTTCACTGGCTCAAATCTGACTAGTCAAACTGTGTTGACCAGAACTTTACTAGGCTACAAAATTGAGCAAAATTGCTCAAAAGGGGCCAAGATCGAAGGTCTGTCAAACCAAACAGTACGTTACAGTTTCAGTTCAGAACACAGTGAGCCATTATGAACTCCCATAACAGGTTCAAGTCTCAAGTAACCTTACTGGAAATATACTTGCATTCTGAACTACAATGTGAAGAAATGAAAATCATTTTTGCAGGTAGTTTGTTGCAAGTTTAAACCAATGGTAAATTCATACGATGAAACTAGATTTACCGTAAAGTCTAGACTCCTTTGAAACGACTCTGAGAGAGCTCATGACTAACACTGCACCTCCAAAAATTTAAATACACCTGGAAATGGTGCCTTTCTACTCAGTCATTATCTAGTCTTTGGCGAGCATTACCTTTTGGATTAAATTTTCTTTTCTTGAAAGCAGATACACCTTTTTCTTGTTTAACATTATCTGGAACGAAGTCTTTCAGAGACGTGATTACTTTTTCTTTGAATTCAATTTTTGGCGCATCTGATTGTAATTCAGGTACATTCAGCTCAACGTATTCTTGCTCTGGAAGTTGCAAATCGACAGGCTCTTCATCTCTAGAAAAAACAAGATAGTGAATTTCATGAAAAAATTTGACTAGTGGAAAATTAAAACTACAGAAAACACCATTTATAATTTTAAAAAATTGATCTTTGAATTTCCTTCCTCTGACCACAGGAAAATGAAGTAGGAGGGATTCAAAAGAAGTCTTCGACTAATTTGTTGAAATTACCTCAGGAAAAAATATTTAGGAGCTCCATTCAAAACTTTTAGGCATTTTCAACATCACTTTCTGGTTGAATAAATTCATTACATTGTAAAATTTCCATACCTTTTTTCTTTCTTTCAAGAAAGTTAATTAAAATAGCAAAACCGTCTGAAAGACGGTTTTTTTGTCACCAAGGGGCTTAAGCAGGGATGTTGTCTGTCACCGACGCTGTTTAAGATATATCTAGAGCACGTTCTGAAGGAATGGAAAAGAAAGTGTGCCGGCATGGGCGTCCCTCTAAATGACCAAGAAACACTGTTCACGCTATGCTTTGCTGACGACCAGGTAGTCATAAGTCAAGATCACGATGACGCGGAGTATATGACCCGGAAGTTGGTGGAGGAGTACCGCAAATGGGGCCTCGAGGTTAGTGTCCGTAAGACAAAAAAGATGTCAGTCGGAGGTGCTCAGCAAAGCATAGTCCTGGAGGATGGTCAACATATAGAAAGTTGCGAACAATACAAGTACCTGGGGGTGAACCTGACTTCGGATGGGAAGCTGGATCAGGCCATTCGGGACCGTAATCTTCTAGGAAGGAAAGCCATCGCCATGCTTAATGGGATCCTTTGGGACCAAAGGATTTCCAAAGACAACAAGAAGAGGATTTATAACTCGGTTGTCAAGCCTATTATCACCTATGGCAGTGAAGTGTGGCAGTTGAAGAAGCGGACCCAAGAAATGCTCAAGGCGACCGAGATGGATTTCTGGCGAAGATCGGCTGGAATCTCGAGGAGAGAACGTGTCAGGAATGAACGTGTCCGAGAGATAATGGGCGTTGAGGGGACGATTGTGCACGATATCATGACCAAGCAATTGGTATGGTATGGGCATGTGCAGAGAATGGCTGATACCAGGTTGCCGAAGAAGGTGTTGGAGTGGGTCCCCCCAGGTAGGCGACGGAGAGGGCGTCCAGCCAAACGGTGGGTAGAGGGCATCCATGAAGAGATGGAGAGATGCCACCTTCCGGAGGATCTCTACCATGACAGATTCCTGTGGAGAATAGGCGTCGCAGAGCGCCCTAGCGCGCCGTAAAAGCGGCTCATACATACATACAATTAAAATAGCATAGAATTTCCTGTGAATTTTCGTTATGTCACACAGAATGTTCTGTTGCAAGTGCAAGGAAAAATATTCCACAATTTTTTCACTAAGGTCAAAAGAAAATATGAATTGATGGAACGTTAGAATTTACGACTTTCTGTTGAAGTACATCCTTGTAAAACTTTTTTTGGTTTAGTGCGTCGTGTGTCTTTGCTTTTACCATGAAATATTTGACAGAGTACTTTGATTAGGACATCAATGAATTGCAAAAATGTTTCTAATTTTCATTGTAAGGAGGCTACCGTTCAAGCCAAAATTTTTGAGTCCTGACTGAATAAGGCAAATAGAAACATTGAGTGGCTTTTTCTGAAAACTATGTTTGTAGAACTGCAGACTTCAAACTATCATGAGAGCAGTTAAATGGGTTACTTGAGCTGGTCACAGTATCATGTTTTGAAGCTTTATTTTTGTAGATTAGCTGAATGTAATAAGATCCGTCCAAACAGCAACTTCAAAGTTTAGTATTAACCAAGATATTGCGCCTTGAGAAAGTCAGTTCATGATGCCAGCCACCGTGGTAGTGACACCCTTGGTTTCTTCCACCTTGCTTTTATCAGTCAAGGGAGACCCACACTCTTGCACTGTTAACTCAACTTGAAACTCGGATGAAAGCAAGGAGAAGGAAATCAAGGGTTTCACTACTGCGGCGGATAGCATCATAAACCGACTGTTTCAACGCGCTATATCTAGGTTAATATTCAACATAGCAAGTTGCTGTTCGGATGGATTGCACTATTTTCAGCTAATCTGCAAGAATCAAGCATCAAAACACAGTTTTGTGACCAGCACACTTGATCCATTGAAAACTAAAGGGTGAGAATGTGCAAAAAAATTCATACGAAACTCTTTACAGCATGCATATTATTTCATTTTTCCCAGACTGAGGACAACTTTCTCCTTAGATTATCACACTTTTCCTCATTATTATTTTTCTTTGGTGCTCGTTGCAATTCTTCTTAATTCCTTGATTGAATATTAACATGATTGGTGATAGTTATTTTACGCATAACTTACGTTTGCACGGTTTGCCAACCTCCATACGGATCTGGTCTTGCTGGCCTAGGAGCAGGTCCAAACGAAGGTAAATGCTTGGTTCTTTCATTGGTTTGCTCTATTTCTAATTTCCTTTTCCTCAGTTCTAGTTCAGCTCGTTTTTTCTCTTCTTCTTCTTTTTTCTTTTCCTCTAATTTCTTTTTCTCTTCTGCTTCTTTCAATTGTTCTTCTAAGCTAACATAAGCGCCTTCAGGTAGTTCCCATTTGGATTCTAAAGGGCAAACAGGTAAAACAATTACATACAATTTTTTCTTGAGTTCTTTTAAATCAGGTTATAATTAGTTGTTACTGTTACCTTATTTATTTGAATTTTTCACAAGAGCCATCTAAAATTTTGAAAATGTTCTTCTAGGCCTCTTTTTTCTTAAAAACGATGCAATGGAGGTTTAATTTTAAAACCTCATTGCACTCAGGAGGTTGTTAACAACAACATATCAAATAATAATGAAAATTAGCCGGCGCTAGATTTTTCCGTTTGGTCTTCGAGAGTGCCTTCAAACTGTGTAAAAGTTCCCCTTCGGAAATCTTTATTCTCTGCTAGCAATACCTGAAGATGCAAAAATATGATGCTTGGATGACACAATGTAATTGAAATTCTGAAAGAGTCTGAAGCAAAAGTGAAAAGAGGCAAAATTTCTGAATAATCGAAATTAAACTAATCAGATGATGTAAAATTCAAGGACATCAAGTGCGCTTTGGCAATTTCCCAAAATTCAAGAATTACTTACTGGCAAGAATAATCGGAAAAAATTTAAGTATATGTATATTCAAGGACTTTGCAAAGCATCACAAACCTTTCAATAGTTACTCAAAACTTCTTGACTTTTGGCAGATCTACTAGGACTTTCCTTTATTTTCATCACTCAAAGATTGGCTTCGATAATCTTCTCCTCCTGCTTATTGTTTGACTCAACCATTCTAAAGTAAACATAATTCTGCTGATATTCAAGGGTGAATATTTCAGAACTGCTACGTGGGATCTCCAAGCGCACAACAAGACTTTTGTTTAACATGACAGAGAGGTATACAAGGTGTCCAGAAATTAACGTTCCTAACTGTCAGGATCGTTATTTTGGCTCAAAATATAACTTTTCACCTATATACATGTGCCCAAAAATGCTTCATAAGCGAGCTACGCACTTCCTTTGCTGTGCGCTATGAATTTCTACAGTTCTTGCAGTAAAAATTGCCTACCCAGGGAGGAGCTTCGGATATCGGAAACTTTTTCAAAGTTATGTTGCGTCGAGATGACGCGTTTCTAGAAAATTTTCTGTGGTGGACACCTTCTCCACTTGATTTATTGAGCTTTCTCACGTGCCGTGATCCGTTTTATCAAATATCATCTACCAAAAAAGTTATCGCAATTTTAAAATTTGGGAACACTCATAACGTCATTTTCCGAAGACGTACGTCCATGAAAACTTGAAAAGTCAACAGTACGAAAGAAAAAGAATGGCAACTTTGGAAACGCATAGCTCACTCATGAAGCATTTTCGGGCACATGTGTACAGGGAAAAAAAGGTCATATTTTGGGCCAAAAAATCGATCCTGAGAATTAAATACTTTAACTTCCAGACACACTTTATATTATTTTCATTGGATTTGAAGATTAGAAAAGTCCCTAGGTCATCTCTCTTTACATTCTTTGGAATTGAATAAAAAACAACCCTTTAATATACTCCCGGCAAAAATGAACCGAGAGCCAAGAGAAAGTGGGACAAATACAACAAGAAGAGCTAAGGTTAGTTGAGCAACCAGAAATTCAGATGCTTGGTTGTCAATCAGTTGGAGCCACAAGAAAACTCACCTCCAGTTTCAACATTCCAGTAATACGAGTAGCCCTCTGGTGAACGTGCCTCGAACCATTTTTTGCTAGCAGGGGTTTCTACTGTGCTTTTTGTAGCTTCAGCTTCTGCGGATAGGGTTTCTTTTTGTCTCCTTTCTTTTTCCGCTTCTTTCAGTCGTTGTTCCTTCTCAGCTTTGGCTCTTGCTACTTCCTCTTTGATTACGTTGGATGTGTAGTCCGGATTGCTTTCAATATCTTTCAGGTAAGCTTGTAGGGCAGCCTGAAGAAGAAAATATTACTAGTAAAGGAAACTATGCGATCGATTCATGTCTGGATCCTGGGCCGGATTTACCTACTTGCCGCCCCCTTCTCATTTATTTTGAAACATCAATAAAAACCATCAAGTGAACAAGCCGGAGGGGGGGGGGGGTCTGCATAAGACGCGTTTACTCAAAATGGGCACATTTTTGTGAAAGCCGTGTCAACACTAGCAAAATTTCACGGAATTTTGCGCGAAAGCTAAGTTCCGTAAACTTATCTCTATGTGGACTGTGGACAAGGCCTTCCATTTCTAAGAAATGAACAAGAAAATTATGAGAGAACAAACATAAATATGGTTTAATAATTTTAACTTCCGCCGCCGCGCCGCACTGACCGCAGTGTATTTGACGCAATGCGTGAAGTATTCATGCAGTCTCGTAGGCGCTGAGCGGTTTGCGCTGACCGCACTGTGTTTGACGCAATGCGTGAAGTATTCATGCAGTCTTGGAGGCGCTAATATGTGTTACATGCCGACCGCCGCGCCGAGGGCTTCTCCTTTTCATCTCAGATCCTCGTCATCATTGCTCTCTGCACCACGCCGCTCCAGGCCAAATTGCGTGTTTGGTTTCTCTCTTAACTCGACTAATTAAAAGTGCCGTCTCTTGTATCACGGAAAGACGACAAAATTAGAAATTACTATACTTCTCAGGAGATGAAAGATTTTGTCGCCTTTTCTCGTTGTCCGAATCCGATTTTTTTTTATACCTATATTTTAAAAAATCGCAAAATTTGCCGTCATGTGCCGCGGTCTATGTGGCCACCCCCTAAATCCGGCCCTGTTCGGATCCTAACGAGATTAAAAATCAAAATATATACGGTTTCGTGTACGGTGAAAAATGAGAAATAGACTCTCTGGAAAATTCCTGATTTTACTGCACACAAGAGGCGAATTTCTGCGCGTGGATTCAGTTAAGTTTTTGACTTAGGTAGTGCCGACCTCTGTTACAACAAAACGAAATTTCCTCCCGACGCGGCGATAGTGCGCCTCCAAAATTTCGTTTCCACGTCAGCATTGATAGCCTTATCCAATATTCCAAACTTTGGCCACAAGTCATCAAACCTCAGAGTTTAGTTCTTGACTTCTGGCAGGTTTTTTTTCTTTATCGATTGGCAGTTCTGTGAAATTTGGTTAAAAAAGGAATCGAATCCACATGCGGAAATTCGCCTCCAGTATTCTCAATTGGACGTATTTCTGCCAAACGGAACCAGAGACAGGTGGGAAAGACGGGGTGTGCTCGTTAGTTGAGGGCCGTAAGAATAAATGGGAATTATAAAGCGCCAGTGACGTCAGCAGCGACGAAGCCGCCGCCGCGGCTCGCCTGAGTGGCCCGTTTTGAATGGCTTTTCTATTCCCGGCCTTTCTTAGACTATGAGACTTTTTATTTGGCCTGATCGCATTATTTTTTATTTATGAATAAGACTCAACCATTCGGACAAAGAAGTTCAACGCGCCCACCTAACCCATTAGGGACGGGAAAGAATACATGGGCATTCCACACATAAACTCACTTGTTCCATTTTTTCCATTTCTTTGTCAACTTCAAGTTTTTTCTCGTGAGCTTTTGCACTTTTCTGCCGGATCTCTGAAATTCTTCTTGCCACATTTTCTTGATGTTTCTTCCCATTTTCATGAAATTGAACGCTCTGAAACCAAAATACATGGGGAAATGATGAACACTTCATAAAAATGGAGACATAGCTTCGTAAAGTTTTTCAGATGCGTGATGGATCTGAGTTAAGCCAGGAATGTACCCTGGTAAAAATTGGCAGTAGAATCTGTGTTCCAAAATACCATAGACCTAAAGCCGGCTTTTAGATTTTCAATAGCTTCCGTAGCCGGCTGCACAATTTCTTATAGTCTTTTATAGCCGATGGCGACTAAACAACAGCCAGGCGATAAAGTGTATGCTAAATGTTACTAATTACGGATGCTAGGACTTAGTGAGTTTTTGGACTACCGCTCTATTTCGGGGCCGTAGTATCTTGATTTATTTTGCGCGGAAAGTTCCGTACTTTTGAAGGATGCCTGCCATTCCTAATATGATGGAGCGCCTTCAATTTCGTATGATACTGTGCAATACCTCTGGTGTGAAATAGTTGCTTCAAGCGCCGTAGCACGCTGCGGTGCGGCGGGCGGGCAGCCAGTGCGAAAAGCGCATTAGCGCCTACAAACCTAACAGGGATACTTCACGCATTGCGCAATGCGTGAAGTATCCCTGTTAGGTTTGTAGGCGCCAGTACGTCGCCGCTCCGCTTTGTGTTATGCTCCAATATTTAATCTCGCGGACGCGGAGTCGGCGTTTTTCAACTCATGATTTTGAAATGTTTGCACACTCTGTATGGATTATTCTCATTTTAATTGATGAAAACAAATATGTTTTAAAGGAAAATATAATGTGTGTTTCGTAAATATTAAAGTAGTTCCGTATCAAACTTAATGATTTCCATAGCACACGAATTTCTACACAATTTCTTATAGCCTTTTGTAGCCGATGGCGATAAAGTGTAAAGCCCGGCGATAGGAACTATAGCCCGGCTGTATACTTTTTTATCGCTTCGTATAGCCCGGCTATATGATTTGCTCAGCTTTCTACAGCCAGCTGTATGATTTCCTATTGCCTTCTTTAGCCGGCTATAAGAATTCCTATGGTATTTTGAAACGCAGCTCCTATCGCCAATTTTTACCAGGGTAACTAAACACATTTCTTTTGAAGGATTAGAATTGTGAATTCAAAACAAAGAAGAGAAAACGATGAGGACAATTTAAAGTTAGCTAGATTTTTAACTCCAATCAGACAGAAGATCATGGTAACTGGCACAGTAGATTTCTAGAAGTAACTATGACAAAAATTAAAAATGCGAAGGGTCTAAGGGCTCACTGTGATGATGGTGTGTAATACTGACATGTTAAAAAAAAGTTAACCAATCGAGAACGGTCTACTTTCGATTTAGGGAACGCAGCGTTCTCTTGGGCAATCCATTAAACATTTGGACGGGCCCTCAGTAAGAAGACAAAGTATTTATAAGAATGCAATTAAAATCTTGGCTTTACTTTTTAAACTTGGACAATTTTACTTCTATACATATTAAAAAAAATATGGACCAAAGACTTCAAGAAGGAAAGAGGCAAATACTAATTGCAGTTCAAATAACAGGTTGGGACTTCAAAAAAGCTGATCTTTGGAACTTTCGATTTCATACAAATAACGAATCTCTCGACTTTATTTTACCGGTTTATTGTTCGATATCCAGCACTTGCAAAAATCGCAGAACTTTCTCTCCTGAGACTTCCAGTAATCTGCCCTGCAACAGAAATGTTCAAAGGTGGTCAGAGCAATTGTCAGAGCACATTTCAATTGCAAGCAATGGGTTTACCAAGAAAAGGAGCGCAAACGGAAGCACTAAGGAGTTACAAGTATTTATTACGATAGATAAAGCACAACTGAACGGCGTTAAGCAGAAAGGAACAAAGCCACATCAGCTACTGCCAAATTTAACTGGACGCAATTTACTTTTTTCAAGAGAACGTTTGTGCGGATCTCTTGGAACATTTTAAGGAATTTCTTTCGCAATGTGCAGAAAATTCACTGTTTGCACAATCCGCACAACCGTTTCCATGTAGGTAAAAATTTAAAATGCCCAACTAAATTTGGCGATGGCTGACGTGGCTTGATTCCTTTCTACTTAACGCGGTCCAAATAATCCATGTACGGATCCAGGCACTTCGAACGAGGGGGCGGAAAAGAGTTGGGGGGAGGGCTTCACCCAGAAAATTATCAACTTTTTCAAGCATCGAATTATCAGTTTGAGTAAATTTCGACACGAATAATTACCAGTGGCTGGGCGTGAACGATTGATTATCGATATTTCCCCATTTGAAGCTATGCAGAAAATAATCGATTATTAAGGTGCTCGCTGCGAACACCCTGTTTATCGATACTTTCCCATCGGTTTGAATGACGTATCAATCGATAAATCGCATAACACACCTCGCCACTGATAATTACTAAAAATAAGCGTCCTTCCTCTTTTCTTTCCTCCTTTTTTTTATTCATTTTTTTTCGGTTGAACGAGGGGGGCGTAACCCCCATATCCCCCCCCCCCCCCTCCCCCCGGATTCGCATATAAACTAACCCAAGCACTTAAGTCATATACCTAACTATCAAACCGATGCCTAATCACCTTCCTCGGAAAACAGCACAAGGCTCATTAATAAATAGACCCGTTATTTTATTCAAAGTAAATATCACAAGATGAAAAGTTGTAAGAGGAGCATTTTGATAAATGGGTATAAGATTTGGTAGCTGGAGAAGCAGCCGCAAGACATTTTATGAGCAACAGAGATGGATTTCCAAGGGAGGTAAGAGGAACTTCTAGAGGAGATCAGGTCCGCAAAAAACAATAAAGATATTAACAATAAATACACTGACAATAAAACAATAATAAAAAGATGCTCCAGATCAGGGCCTGAGTGGGAAATGACACTGTGTTCAAAGTCACGACTAAGTAGCCAGTCAGCAGGCTGCTCATTGAAATTGATGGACAAGGAAGATGAGAGGAAAATAGAGCGATCTTATTGGTGGAAATGGGAGGTTGCGATGGAAAAAGGAGGGAAGTAATAGATAAACTAACGACAACCTACGAGAGACCCCATTGTTAGTCCATTATTTTCCGCCTTAGTCTAGGACAACCACCCGTTCCAACCAATAGAATCGCTCCATTTTCTCTTTGCCTCATTTGTCTATCGCTTTGTCCATCAATTTCAATAATCAGCCTGCTGGTATGCATGTCAGCAGAATATCGTAGGAGAGGTTGTTTGATCGAGTTTCTCATTGAGTGGATGAATGGGACGCCCAGTGAAAGGGTGGCAACATGGAGTTGCACGCGTAATGAGGGGATGCCAGTTTCTTGAGGGGCTTTGGAAGGATAGGGGACTAAGGCCGTTGGGCGTCGCAGAGCAATGGAGAGCACTGTAGAATTAACTCTTACGTCTGTGTGAACAAACTAGGGAGATCAGTGGCGTGGCGTGATTTGCTATATGTCGATGGTTCTGCCATTTAAACCCATGGAAAAGGATCGATCACCTTAATAATCGGTTCTTCACTGCAGCTTCGAATGAGGAAATATCGATAATCGATCACTCACGCCTCGCCACTATAAGAGATGGAGATTTTTTTCCCTTGGAAATTTTACTCTAGTCATCCTCGAGCCCGTCACACATTCGGTGCATTGATGGGGGAGAAAAATGCAATTTGTCACAGGCAATTTGTTACCTATAATTTGCAGGAGGAAAAACTAGTTACAAGTTTACTCTGCCTTATCGAAACCTTATTCTTTCAAAGAGACATCCATGATTTGTCTCATAGAAGGTAATTACCTGGTTACATTGAAGAAGAGTTGTTATGTTCACCTAGGTTGATACTGAATTGCAGAAAATTTTATGGAAAAATAAGCATTTTGTCAAAAGCAGCTTGATTGACCTAAAAAGGCAAAGATAGATATTGGACGAGGTAGCTAGGGGTATTAACCTCCTTTTAGATGATACCTGCATTACATGCTTAGTATTAAGATCAAATCTGTCTGAAAATGACTGAACTGGTAAACCTAAAACTAAAGGATTGTCTCGCTAAATTTCAAGATTTGGCAAACATTTTAAGTTTCTTACAAAAGAGCTACCGCATGTTTCTGTTGAAGGATAAAGGTGAAATTCTCCATGAAAATTATTATACATGGAGTTAAGAATGTAAATTAATGGTAAAAACTGATTTTAAATACGAGAATAAAATTTCCACAGAAATAATTAAACATCAAAATGGTCATCCATCATTTAAATACCTCATAACAGCAACCTTCATTTTCAAATATTTATTTAGTCCTTTTCGATATGCTACCAAACTCTAGAGATCATTACAAAGATGGTTGCTGCGATTTCAAAAACATATTTTCAAACCGAGAAATCAAACAGAAAGTTATACAAATATATAAGTGAATAAATAATCAATAAATGATAATAAAAAAAAAAAAAAAAAAAAAAAAAAAAAAAAACAGTCCAAATTCTAAAAAAGGGCAAAAAATTTCACGAGGCAAAATCACTTTTTTTTAATTTATTTTTTTTTTGGAGACCTGTAACCGTTTAGAATATTATAGTGGCTGAAAATTGCAGGTTTGTAATACAGTTCCTCTCAGACGATTCTTTTAACTCGTCGTGGAGTTTTGACCTCGAGACTGGTTTTGGATACATTTTGAAATGGGGAGCACACACGTTTGAACTTGCGCTGGTTAAATTGCGGAAATTTTTTTAATAGTAAAAGAAAGAGAAAGTTTTCTTTAATTTTAATGGGGTGAATTTAATTTTTAAATAATTAAAACTGAAACTAGAAGGAAGAGAGATAGAGAGGGGGAGAGAGGGAGATAGAGGTCTACCAGACCTGGTTCAATCTTTCATTCTTCCTCGGGAAAATGTTGGACTGAAAAACACACGAACTCACAATAATGATGTTTTAAAGAAAATTTACTTTGAATTTAATCAACTCTTTTGAGAAAATGTACCTAACATTATTTTTTAAAACATGTACCTATTTCCTCGGATAAGGCTATCCTATAATTGTTTTCCTTGTCTGAAAGAAACTTTTCGGGGAGCAGAGAAATATCATCAGCATTGGCTGCTTTTCAAACGAAATAGAATGTTGTGGATTCCTAGAGAGATTGATTTAGAGTTTCCTTTCCGCGTGGATGTGAAAAAATAAAGTAAAAAATGCGGAACTTGTAACATGGTCTCCCTCTATTCAGTCAGATCTCGATGTTGTCAGAGGGTCTAGTAGAGATCCTCCCTCAGATTCTACTTATGAACCAAAACAACTATTAACAAGAATATTTTTTTTATTTATAGGCACAAAAAGAATTTTAAGGATTCAGTTGTAATAATAAAATTAATGAAATTAAAACAATTAAGATAAATGTTTGACGCTAACGGTAAGAATGTCAACTGAATCATACAAGGCTTAAATTTATTATTGTTACGCTATCTTGATGTCACATTTTCGTCTTGTCCCTCTTATAGATGTGACGTAGAGAAACACACACACACACGGAACAAGGAAAAACAAGAATACGGTGAAGGCACATTTACTTTATTACCTGGTTCAATACTTTACAAAAAGTTACGCAGAAAACAATGGCAAGGTTTTTCATTATTGCTTAAATTGACAATTCTGCCTTCGATTGCACCTTAAAATTGTCTAAAAACTTAATATCTAGATCACAAAAATTTCACACGGTGGGTAACGAATACGAGGAAAAATAAAAATACGGACATATCATTCACAAAACAACAAAAATTAAATAGGTGCTAGAGAGTAGGACTTAATTAACTTCAATTGTGGATACTAAAACGGGGGGAAAAAACCAGCGGAAAAATGAAACTAAGAACTGAACCAATGTATGATCGGTTCATAGGCATCTCGTGGCCAGATAGATACGGCTCCTTCCGAAGAAAAGTAACAAAACTCAAAAATTCATCAGCTCACAGCGTTGAAAATTTGCCATATATAATATAATTACTAAAAAACAGACTGATAGCTAAAAGTAAAAAATTCGTACCTTGATTGCAACATTAAAAAAAAGCTACGATTATTGCACATTTTCCTCAGAAAATATCAACCAAAATGCTTCCTTGCAATTTCGCGAGGTCTTTTTTTAGAATTAATTGAGAAAATTCACGACAAATTTCGTTAAAAGCTATTGGCTAGTATTCCTGAAAAAAGAAAAAAACTAACAAGACATGCGCGGAGACGCATTTCAGGGGTGCAAAATTTGGCCGATCCGCAGGTTGCGTGATCAGCGAGGAAATTTTTGTCCGATCGGACGCCGAAAAGTCTTTTCGGAAACACTCCGACAGTCTATCAGTCTTTTTGAATTTTCAGGAGAAGTTTTCAGTATTCCTGACAGCTGCTACGCAACGTTATTTTTTCGTTTATTATATAGAAGAAAATTGCCAAGCACAATTTTGAGGCTTGCGAGGAAAATTTTCCTTATTCCAGAGAAAAAATTTCCTCCATGTGAGAGAATTGTCGGGAAAGCGAGAAAATTCTTTTCAGAAACGAGGAACGGCGACGAAAATAAATCTTTGGTGAAATTCCGACGATTTATCGACCTTCATGACTTTTTGGACTTTCGGTCTGTCGAGGAAAAATTTTTCTCAGGGAGGAAATACACTAGCGTGCAGAAGCAAGGCGTCAATGATCTATCTTCGATATTTCCTTATTTGAAGCTATAGCAAAGAATCGAGTATTAAGGTGTTCGTTGCGACCACCCTGATTATCGATCCTTTCCTACAGGTTTAAATGGTAGATCGATCGATATATCGCAAAACACGCCGCGCGACTTCGGCCGAATGACATTTCCTGCACTCGTGAGCATTCTAAGTTACAAATTTTCGACTTTAACCATCGAGATGATGCCTGATAAAATTATACTTCCATTAATTCTGTTCTTCGTTGCTGGGGTAAACAATGCACCCGATGAACTTATACATTAAAACGTGTAAATTTCATTTTTTCATAGATTTATTTTTTTGGTAAACGTACGGGATACTATTTCAACTAGGAGGGCAAAAAAAATGATATTGCTATCATTTCAGAGGAATGTACAACATAAAAAGTTAACAGATAACAAACAAAATACCTAAGTGTATTCTTCAACCCCCCTTGAAAAAAAAGAAAAAAAAAAAAGATTCATGAAACAAATAAAATAATAAAGAAAAAAAATAGGACTAGGTAAATCTATTTGGAACAAATGAATCTAAATTACAAAGATGGAAAATTACCATAAATAATTCGAGGAAAGGAAGAGCCCTGTTCAAAATTAATGATGAACAGAAAAGGCAGTGGATTGCGAAGTTTTTAGGGAAAATATTACTCATTAAAAAAGGGGGAAGATCAGATCGGTAACAATTTCAACAGTCCAAGGTAGGATTAAGGCAATAGGACGTTCGGCAGCTTTTCTTAATCATAAAAAGGGACTGCTCCTTAATTTGTAGCCACGCCAAGACAGACGAGGATTTGGAGCTTTGCCAAATCGATAGCATTACCGAAAAACTCATGGAAAATAAGGAGCATGAACATGTTTGCGAGGAAAAAAAAAATTCATGCTTCTGGAAGATGATAAGGCACATCAGTGTCAGAAAAAAAAGTTGGATGCTTTGCAACAGTGAAACAGGGGACAGTTACGAAAAGTTGGCACAGGTAACTTGGAATAGGAATGGACTTCACCGAAGAGAAAGGGAAATGTCTTTTCGATTATGATGGTGGGTTTTTGGCGGTGGCATTTGTTGTTCTTACAGATACTCTGAAGATGTAATTAATCTAAAAACAGAGGACATGATCATTTTCAAATGAACGTAAGCAACCTTATTGTCTCCTTTTTTTTAACAAACAGAGATCTATGAGGAACATTTTTAAGGACAAAACTCTGAGATCTCAAACAATGAGAATGTGTGATTTCAAAATTAGTTTTCCTGTTTTTTTTTCTCAGAATTTTATCGATTTCTGATTCTACGTCTTCGGTTGGATAAGTGTAAAATTGACAGAGAATGGGAATGGCGTGAGTTCATTCTTAAGATAAAATGAATATTTTTTTTTGGAGAAAAAGAGACTTGAGAAGAGGGGAAAAGCACGATTAATATCTTTGGCACAAAAAAAAGAAGAAGAAAAAAAAAAGGATTGCTTTTAAGCTCACTCTCATTGGTACATAAACCAACGTTTGGTTACGTACGACTAGACTAAAGTGGTAAGCTATTAGACTAACCATTCAATGTTGAATTTACCGCTCTTAAAACCAGGCGGAATATGTATGTATTTGTTCTGGGTAGAGCCATCGATTTCACTGAATGATGTCATAAAAACGGTCTACAAAGACTAGTTTGAAGCAATTTACACCATTGCATTATCAGATCCATGCATTGGAATTGAAAAAAAAAAAAATATTAGGAATGATTCAAGATCCCGAGTTCAACTACAAAATTATTTAGGTCACGATAGTTGGGTGAAATTTTCTCTTGCCAGTTTGGTTATGGCCAGAGCGATACAGAGTTGGGGGACAAGGGACAAGCAAGTTTTTCGTCAAAGTTATTTACCCAGGTCAGTTCACTGACACCCTGTTAAAGTCGTTGTCTCCGCCATGAACACCCTCAACTGGACTTGTTTAAACCCGGATTCAAGCTTATCAATTTTTTTTTCACCACAATTTGATTCGAGATGTGACAGGGTACGAGAAAAGGCACTTGCGTGCACACACGTAAATTTTCAAGGTAAGCAAGTTCCGTGAAGTTCAGTCGAAAAATCAGCCTTTAAAGCCGAAAAAAGCTTATTGGGGCTCAAAGTTGCCAACAATGACTCATGTTGGCGCTGATAAAGAGCGTGGAGTTTCGATGAAGCGGCGATTTTGAGCCCTAAACATGGTACTTAGATGAAAAGTTTGAATCGCTTTTTCCCCAAACTAATTCTTGATGCTAGAACTTCGGACTGTCATAACACTGGTTTTTTTGAGATTGCTAGGCATGCCTAGTGCCAAAGTATAAAAAATTCCTCTCAGCTCTGCATTAATATTTCGATCTTGAATATTATAAAAGAAAGGTCCCCTCATCCATGGACGGGACACAAATGGTAAAAATCAATTTGTAATATTAATATGAAGTTTTCAGCTTCCATGAGATTTGAAGTTTCATTACAACATTTCATATCCTTGAGGTAAAATTTGAGATACTTTTGAAATTAAAGTTTTAAGAATTTGTTCAAATAATTTGGAAATCATATCAAAATTTCAAGATCGTGTATAGAACCAAATTAATAGAGCCTTCCGGTTTAAAAACAAGCCGCATCTATTTTTATTAAATACACCTTTAGTGACTCTCTTCTTCTAGTAGTATGCGTTCCTTTCTCATTTCACAGAAAAAGAAACCTTAAAATAGGTTTGAGTTCTAAAGGATTTTTTAGAAAAAAGAGATGCGTCATTTAATTACAAACGGACAGATTTCATTGATGTTCTATTACATTTGGCGTGTCCGTACGGTTCAATAGGGCACTAACTTAGTTTTAATGAATGTTTTATAAGACTACTTCGTTACGATTTGATGAAGCCAGTGGTGTAGCCGTGGCGGGGGAGGGGTGGACCCCCAATAAGTCAAAAATTAACTCTGAAAAATTAATTTTTCGTGATCTTTAGGAATTTTAAATCTTTGATCATGTTTGACCATCCCCATGAAAAAAACTGGCTACGTCACTGGTTGGAGCACTGACTAGAGTACAAACTGATTAATTCTTTGAATTTCACGTAGAAAATGATTCATACGCAACCTTTGGAAATCATCGTCTAATGAAGATATACGTATTTACAATTAACATTAGTAAATGGTAAAAGTACAAATGACGTCATTTCTCATTTTTGTGCTTCATGCACCAGCTGATGGACTTCAAGTGTAGTTGATAGATTTTAAGTGCACATTTCGATGCCTCTCTTCCGATTTCCAAATGTTTTGCTGCATGAATCGTTCTCTAAGTGAAAGGCTGTTACATTTAATTTATTGGAAGTGGACGGAATTCATGATCCTCTCTATGGATCGTATTCAATACATCAAACAGGTAAGATTGTATCGATATCGATTGGTTCAACACGTGAACACAGCCCCAAAAGTCAATTGAATGCTCTGAGGGAACGGGTTTCTTGTGATAGGTTTTTGATTCTTTGGGTACAAGTATAAAATGGCAATGAAAAGTGAAATTGTTGGGGATATTCTCAATTTCAGCTTTTTCTACTCAAATCCTAAAATTATCGTTTGAGGTTATATTCTGTTGTTTTGAACCAAACGATGCATCGAACCACTATCGAATACGATCTATTGGGGAATCACAGAACTAAGGCTAGGATTTACCGGTGGATGGTTTGTACAAGGAAATCAAGAGCGGATAATGGATGTCTTCCTCGTAGAGAGGACTACTCGACTTCAACTGCGTATGCCTGCGATGCACGTCGGCGTTGTAGTTCTGACCGTGGAGCTTCGTGACGAAACCAACACTCTCGGCAGCATCGAGGAATTTCAAGTGGGTCTGACCCCTGGCAGGAGCCGTGATCAGCGCGATGGAGCCTCCCTTCAAGCAATCCCAAATAGTCATCACCAGGTCCTTCCGAGTTTCCTCGAAGAATAAGCAGTCGGCTGCCAAGACCACGTCAAAATTCTCGGCCCAGGATCCAGTGTTACAGTTCCATTTGAGAACGGCTGCTTCAGCGGTTGTCTCGCGTAAATCGTTGGCATCGATGATCGCTCGAACGTTCTCAACGGACTCGAGGTTCCCGTCGGTCAACAGAACTCTCTGAGGACACGCGAACTTGGCCAACATGACACCCGCAAGACAGGTCATCCCTCCACCGAGCTCAAGGACGGATTTCCCGCGGAACATGTCCCTGTTGCTGAGACAGTAGAAGGCTAGCACTTCTTCCGAGGGCCAGACGCAGACGTTCCCCGTATTGTTGAAGCCCATTAAATCCGCGGGCGTTATCAGCTTGGACACGTGGCGAACTTTAACGCTCAGGTCTTGATCGGCAACGCGAGTGGAGTAGTCGAACCAACTAACGCTGTCGTTGTCCACTTCAGATGAGGACCGGATGGAGAAGAGTCCGAACTCCTGAAACCTCCGGACGGAAACCGGATCCACCTCGTTGACGCTCAGGTTTTCCTTGTTGTTGAGAAGGGCGTGGGCTAGGAGGAGCCACCGGTTTCGGGCCTTTTCGTTGCAGTTTTTCGAGGGCGGACTCGCGCGATAAGGAACGTCGATGTTCTGGTCATGATTGATCATCCTCTAACGGAAAAGGCAGCCAGCCTGCTCACGGTGAGACGGGGTCAGAATCGGTGCGAATTAAGGGTTTCGCAACGGAGCATCGCGCGGAAGACCCGAGCTGACCACCTGCAAAAGCAAGGACAGATCAAGTGAATCGAAACAGTCAGAGGCATTGAAAGAGAGGAACCTTGGTTGGGGCGTCCTCCAGAATGGTTAACTTAGTCCGGATATTGTGGCAGACTTTATTTTTGTCCAAGAAGCCCGGTGGCGGGGTAATCTTTCAGCCGAATACAAGAGCCAAGTTTTTACAAGACAGAAATTTAGGTAGTCCTAAAATTCTTGGTTCATGCAGACTTGAAAAAAGGAAGAAAAAAATGACGCAGTTACTTAGTTACTTCAGCACTCTCAATTATTTTCAATTAGACGCTATTTTGATGGAGGTTTCAAGTCCATCTATATGCATGGTGAGACTTTGCTAAAGAACAAAAATTCGGCATCATTACGGCCTTATCATTAAAACTTTTAAGGCATGATGTGTTTTGAACGCAGCCAAGAACAGCAAGCAAATAGGAAAAACAAGTCGACTATCAAAGTCTCAAAAATGTATCATGCGCTGCGCGTTCAAATATATTAGTAATGTCACCTCAGCAAACTCAAACGTTCATCGTTTATGCCTCAGTATGATTTAAAGTGATTGGGTTGCATAAATTGTAATGCATCAGAGGAAAATGAGACTTAGGGTGAGTTGCCAAATTTTCCACGAGAACCACAAAATGCAGTTTTGGTCCTTCACATAAAGTGGGTTTTTTTAAAATTATGGAATGTTCAAAGTAAGGTAGTGAATCTTAATCCACCATCTGATTCACACATATTTCGTTTGAATTCCACACTCAAATCGCACGTTTGAATTTTTCCGTCACGTGCACTCCTATCAGTTTGTGGTTCAGGTGCATAAACCGAGAATAATTATTGAGAATATTATAGGTGGCATTTCGATAAAATCTGAACCTCCCTATAGAACATCTTAGATATTGGAACGCTTTTTCAACTCAATACAACGCCGCGCGCGGAGAACACTAGAAGAAGTTGGGTTCGAACCCAACATGCAACTATTTTAACTCCGCGGTGGGCCGGGTTGCATACGCTACATTTTGCGGGCGAAATGTGAGACCTGTCCACGGCCAACGCGCGCTTGCGACATAAGGCTCTCGCGATAGGGTAGAGGTGCAGCAGTGTTTTCCTCGAGAGTTTGCAACCCGGCCCACCGTAGAATGGACCAGTTGCGCTGGTCGCAGAATAGTGTTGTGATGCTCGATTCTTGTAGATTCAGGGCCTTTACCTACTTGCCGCCCCCTTCTCATTCGTTATGAAACATCAATAAAAACCAGCAAGTGACCGTGCCGGAGGGGGAGGGGTGCATAAGATGTGTTTACCTACTCGTGTTGGATACATTTTTTTGCGGAAGCCCTGTCAACACTACTAGCAAACTTTCCCGGAACTTGACGCGAAAGTTAAGTTCCGTAAACCTATCTCTGTGTGGACAAGATCCTCCATTTATAAGAAATGAACCAAAAAATTATGAAAGAACAAACATAATTGTGGTTTAATAATTTTAACTTCACCGCTGCGCCGTGTCGCGCTGATCGCACTGTGTTTGGCGCAATGCGTGAAGTATTCCTGCAGTCTTGTAGGCGCTATGCGTTTCACGCTAATCGCTCCTAACCGCGTGACCGCACTGTGTTTGGCGCAATGCGTGAAGTATTCATGCAGTTTTGTAGGCGCTAATATGTGTTTACATGCCGATCGCCGCGCCGAAGGCTTGTCCTTTTCATATCAAATCCTAGTCATCATTCCTCTCTGCGCTGAGCTCCAGGCAAAATTGAGTGTTTAGTTCCTCTCTTAACTCGACTAATTAAAGATGCTGTCTCTTGTATCACCGAAAAACGACAAAATTAGAAATTACTATACTCTCAGGAAAAAGAGATTTTGTTTCCTTTTCTTATGGATAATTTTTTTTTTCTGAATCCGATTTTTTTATACCTACATTTAAAAAAATTGCAAAATTTTCCGCCATGGGCCGCGGCCCACGTGGCCACCCCCTTAATCCGGCCCTATCTACAGTAGATTAGCTATAACTAATGAAACCTGTCCAAATAGCAACTTTTCACGTCCAATGCAACTTTACGGTTGAAAGTAGAAAGTTGCTGTTTGGTTGGATCTGTATATTTTTAGTTGATCTACAAGAATCAAGCATCGAAACACAATTCTGTGACCAGCGCAACTGACCCATTAAAATAGCTGCATCTTGCGTCTATACTCAAATTGGTGTATTCTTCCTTTATTTCACGTTCAATTTGTTAAAATCGCGTTACAAATCTGCGCGACAGGAGCGTCCAAATACTTGACGGAGACAAACGTCACGTTCGAGGAAAAAAAATGATTGGAGCTGCGTATCCGGTCGCGAAAGTCGTGGGCTGATCTCGGAATCGCCTTCAAAATCGAGCGTATGCAGCCCGGCTCACAGCGGAGTTAAAATAGTTGCATGTTCGCTTCGAACCCAACTTCGAATATTCCTCCGTTGTTCTACGCTTCGCGAATAATGCAAATGCCGTGTTTGTCTTTCGGAATCTCAATCACTTTACTTTGAACATTCCATAATTTAAAGAAAGAAAAAAAAAAGAAGAAAAAAACATACAAACAAGATAACTTGATATAAAATAGTTAAGTATCTCAATTTTTTTTTTTCACCTGCAGTTCCTCTTTCCTCGAGTGCATCACATTTAAGGGGTCCTGAAACAAAGGGAACAGAGTCCATTTTCCTGATTATTCCCATAACGCTAGTGTTCTCATGTAATCCAGGGTTCATCAGCAAAACGGACGTGGCTGCTTTTGCTTTAAGATGCCTTATTTGTCATATCATTAGAATTTAAGTGATGTCAGGTCCTGTAAAATTTAGGTGACCAAAAACTTAATTTTTAAGTGTCTTCATGAACCAAGAAATTTATTAAGACTAGGTACTTTTTTTGCTGCTGAAAAGGGAAAATTGGTTTGAACTCTCAAAATATTAAGCCTACTTATACACTTCTTTTCACCGTTTGATTTCCTCCTAAAATTAGGTATTTTCTAAATAAGATTTTGGAGTTAATTTAACGCTTTGAATTATTCAATTTACAAAACATTTTTGGACATAAAATACTTATATAAGGGTGGGTACAAAATTCAGTAACTTTAAAATGAGACGATACATCCACTAAGTTAGGTACAGCTATCTAATTTCATGAATAAAACTGGCTGGGCGTATCTGGAATGTTACCAACTTATAAAAAGTCTCTTACGTCAATTTCAGTCAAATAAAAATCACAACTACATAAAGCAAATCACATTGGGCTTACTAGGGAGTAAATGCTGACAATTTCATGCTCGTAAGAGAGCCCTTAGGTACAAAACAGGAGTGGGGATAGCTGGCATGTTGCTTGGTTAGAAAAAAGCTTTAAATATTCTAAATTGTGTTAATGATTAGGTACATCATAAGGTAGGGTGCCAGAGGAATAGCATAATTTTGCAATATCCACCTGTGTCGAATTATTTCGCAGGTCAAAACAACTTATAGAAATAAGTAAATAAAGTTAAAAAAAAAAAAATAAATAAATTACAAAAATACATTAACCCCATTGATAAATCAACACACAAATTCATATTGGTTATCAGAATCCTACTAGAAAAACACAAGCTAGTAATTCATCGTAAGGTTTAGAAGAGTCCAAGTTGACCGACTTTAAAGTGCGACAGAAGATATGCCATCTAAATTTTCCCATTGAAAGTAAAAGGCGCAAGCCCCGATAGAAGATCTTAAGTCTCACAGTGAGAGTCTGTCTGCAACTTGAAGGGTGTGGACTCTAATGGTAATTTATAATTACTCGCCAAAAGGTATGATGCTGTGAATGTATGAGGGTTGTTTACAGTTTTGGAGTTCATCAATAATGCAATGATTCTTTATAACAGTCCGTGGCAGAATCTAAGCAGCCCTAGAGTAATGTGTAGATACTACACCCACAGGAGATGGGTCTCAATGAGATCAAATATTATGAAATAGAGTATATTTTAATAAACATTAGGTACATGGAAAATGGAAGGGTTGGAAAGAAGCAAAAAAATGACATTCCCTACAGGCAATATTTGAATGGACCTCAATTACGTAATGGATAAATGGATAGCCTTGCCGATTAATTTTATGATTATCTCAATTGTATTGTGTAGTTAGAAAACAGGTTCTTGTTTTTTCTGAAGGGGCATTTTCAAACGGTTCCATTAGGGAAGATAGTACCTATCATTTGTAGTTCCTTATTTCTGCAGGAAAGACGCAATTAAATCTACGATACTTTTTTGTGCAAAAAAATGAGTATATAGGTCATACTGAACCAAAAAATTTAAGAAAAGAGATTTAGAGACAAGGAGATGGTGTGTTTTCAAGTATGCAACTAAATTAAATCAGTCAATTTAAGAACGGCCCAACTCCGGTCGCTGCCTACGAGAATAGAGAGGCCGTAACTACGATTCTGTAACGTCACTCTAGTAGATGAAACTCGGCCGGGATCAAACATGTGTTTTTATGGGAGAACGCATGACACATGTTCCTTATGTGCTAATATCTTTTCAGGGGTTGATCTGGTGCAAAAATTCATAAGAACCGTTTCGAGAGAAGATAAAATTTCAATCAGAGTACTGCCTAGTTTATAAATTACATTGTCTGATAATTGAGGAAATAAAAGCTAAACACGACTAAAAATCAAATATCGTTACCCCACTGCGATTCAAATACGCCGCTCATGCAACTTCGGCCAATCGACGACGGCTCTGATTGGTTAACATGGCGATTGCTCTACTAGTTTGACGTCATCAAACCGAGTGGTTAAGGCCTCTCCATTCTCGTAGGCAACGCTCCGGTATGCTGCATTTCTCTCTTTCTGCAGAAAAGTACTCTCTTGAGATTTGCGTAAATCTTCTGCTAAAAACATGGTGATTGTAACTAAACGAGAAGACCTTAAGAAGATTGAAATCTTGAGAAACAGAGAGCACTTCCCTAACCAAGCAAGGCTTTCAGGGCTTGAGAATATGTTCCTTGGATTCCTTATTGTGGTAAATTTAACTGTATCACTCTTTGAAAGAAAATCATAATAAGTAATGGCGGATTTTCTCCTTGTTAGATGCCTTGAACCTGTCAAAGAGAGCAATGGCACTGTCATTGCTTGTTTTCAATCGCTGTGAATGATTTCGGCAAGGTTAGGAACAAAGCATTTGTTACATACTTGGATGAAGGCTTACACATAACAGTTACTCTACAAAAGAAATTACAAACATTTAATCCGCGGCTTTGGCACCGCTAGGTCAGCATGAAATGGTTAGAACAAATTAGATTAGGTTGTTTACTTGGATGTTTATGGACATGTAGCAAATTCATGTTCAAGTAATACAGAACTTGTCAAGGGAGAGACCTTACAAAACACTCAGGAGATCTATAACACTAGCTATGGATGAATAATAATCAACAACATGCCAGGTATAACACGGTAAAATGGGCGTCACAATATAACTGATATTACATTCTAGGATCAGTGAAGGATTAACAAGGGATTAAAATTACTTACTCTAGGATTATAAAACACAAGATCCTTGCCAAAAGTTTAACCTCTTAAGTAGTTGGGTTAGAGAAAAATTAAAGGCAGAGTAAATTCAAATCCTTGGTGACTGGCATCATTACAGTCGAAGCCGAATTTCTCTTTCACTAATCATGGCAAATATCCAGATCTCAAAATTTGCAAGCCATGTTTGAACTACTAATCAATTTATACTCTAATAATAGTGTCCACAATCTTCTTGGCTAAATTACAAATCAATTAAACATACCAATCTTTTTAACCATTAATTTTTTGGCTCCATTTCAAGTGGCCGGAGACAACGACTGGGCAGGCGAGGGGAGATACTTTCAATCTTTTCAATTTTTCACAGCTCCCATTAATACATCAATTTGACATTTAAAGGTGGTTAAAATGTAGAGGAAGCATGCAAGAGAGTGGAAAGATGGAAAACAAACTTACATTTTGGACTATTTCAGTCACTCTGCTGCGGCAACTGTCAACTTGAAAGGTTACTTGACTTGAGGGCAGCAATAATTTAAAGGCTCAAGGCTCATAAATACTACACGAATTGAAAGATAGGGCTAAACACAAAACACTCAGTCTGGGGACATTTATTTCCCGTACAAAAATAAAATTTAGGAAGAAAGTTGTCACAAAGAAGAGCTCATGAAAATTATTTGTTGTGATAGTACAGTTCTTCTTCTTCTCTTCGATAGAAATACTTGAATTCATGGAGCGGCAACACCGCATTTGGCAAGTGTACGGAATGGGCGGGTAATTTGAAATTTTCGGGATCAAAGTGACAATGAGTTCCTTTCACAGTAGGGACATTTAATTTGTGGCTTATTCATGAATGTACTTATCTGATTAGGGTGGCCGATGGTAGGAATTTACACATATTAAATATTTTGATTGTGAAAATAAATTACTTACTTACTGTTGGCCGACTGAATTTTTAAGGAAACCAATGAACACCTTGGTCAGAAATTTTTAAATCAGAATTTCTGCACTTATCTACCTGCGAAGAAAAATCAATACAAATTTTAAAAAGTAATGCCCATTGGTTTCCATTTGAAAAAGAAGTAGCACTGTCCCGGTTTATTTGTTTCCTGGTCTAGGACCTTGATTTCGGTACGTTATGCGAAGAGGCGCAGAACTCAAGCACTGGGAGTTCAGCTCAGATATTGTGCGAACCATGATGCCTTCTTTTCTAACTATTTAATTGCACAAGTATGAAAATACTAGCAAAAAAACAAAAGAAAAAAAGGGGAGAGGATGAGAGGGAAAGGATTTAATGAGCTGCTTGAATAATATAAAATCCAATGAATTAATTTGTTGATAATTTGACTTAAGTAATCAATCTTTTTAACATAATTATTTAGTAATCTCAAGCATTCAAGGTAATACGCTTGAATGTACCTATATTGATGAGCAAATGAGAAAATTGCGGAAAAAATTGAAAAATATAAGGCAGTGGATTTTCGAACTGCACCGCTGAGACAAAAAGTGAATTGATGTTAAGTTGCTTTGAAGAAAGTATACACTTAGTTGACTTCGAAAATGATGAACATCTCAATTTTTTAATTTGCTGCCTGTCTGCTCCAATACAGTCAATCGATAATTCTGCTCTCGCGTTTTTTCTCAAAGTTAAAAAATTTGCGAGGACTGAGTTTTTTTAGAGTATTGTTTAAGAACTAAAAAAAAGTTGAGCAAAATTGAATGGACAAAAACAGTCAGTTTTCATCCATTAACATAAAACATGGTAGACAATTTGCATAAGTGTTGTTAAGATTAAGGTTTTAAAGTTTTCTACTTTAAAATCAAACATTTTTGTTGATGGAGAGCAAAATTGTGGGCGGGCTGGTTAACGATAGATCCAAAAAAATTAGACTTAAGATTCAAATTAAAAAAGTAATTTTTTCCTGAAATTACATACTTCTAAGCACTGCATTTGTTACAGTGATCATGCCAGGAAATACGTCACTAGGTATTACCTCATTTTTTTTTTTCAAGAATCGTCACCTTTATAGAATTGCTACCTTAAATTGCCGGGTTGAAACTTTGTAAAATGTGAATGATGTATTTCTCAATGATTAAAACTAAATTCTGCTTGGAGAAGATTTATGATCTCAAAGAAAATTGACAGGGCAACACAAAAAATGTAGCTCTTGCATGCCACAGGAATAGGGATTTACTCATAATTAAAGTTCCATAATCCTACACAAAATTTTGCGAGAAACTTCATGGTACTGCTGTTTTTTCTGGAAAACTCTCAAATTAAAAAAAAAAAAAAAAAAAAAAAGCCTTAAAGATGAGACTGTTAATGTAAAGATCACCTACTTTCACCATTACGTTTGCATAATATTTTGCACAGGCTAAAGAACTAAAAATGCAAATTTCTATGGCATGCAAGAGATCCATGTAGGAAACGCTAGATGCAAATTTCTTAAATTCACAGACCTTGATTGATTTAAATGACTATCTAGTGATCCTAGGGAGTTTAATATTGAATAGCAGGAAACAGATTTATAAGAGAAAGTATTTTCTTTATTAAAACAATTTTTACTTGATGTAAGAAAGGATGAATCATCACACTTGATTAAGAGGAAGTTCAGTTGATAGAACATAGCCACAAACTACAACACTGAAAGGTATTGAAATACATTGAGATGATAGCAACATGCTTTTTCTTCTTGCGGCTTTTGCCAGTTTCAGTAAATTTCTTCTCTAGACATTGAGTTCTCCTGAAAGTGGATCCTTACATGATTTTTTCTTTTTTCTACATATTAATGCTGGTGTTTTTCAGGTTTATGACAGTTATTGGGTGTAAATTGACTTCTTTCATTTAGAAAACGAAAATCATAAGAAATAAGTGTGCATTCATTTGAGAGGCAAAAATGACTTTAAAATTGAAAATTTCAGGTATGAAGAAGTGCAAAGGTAAGAAATTGTTATTAGAGCAGAAAACATTTCACAGATAGAGCTGCGAAGTGAAAACATCGCAGGACCCACTCCAAGAAATCAAGAGGCACAAGGAAACCCTACAAAGCGGCAAATTGCCTCTTTGCTAGTGTTTAAAAATAAGATTGTCCCTTCAACAGGGTTGCCTCAACACATTTCTCAATCAGTGGGATAGTTCCTGCTTCTCCCTCAGTCTTACAGAATGATTGCGGTATTGCCTACCGTACTTTTATCTTTGTTTGTGTTTTCTTAAATATATTTTGTGAATAATACTATTCAGATAAGAATTTCTTCACTATGGATCCGATTGTTTTGAATTCTGAGCATGAAACTCAAAAACTGTGATAAAACAGAACGATTCTGATATCAATTGAAATAATGCCCAGACTGATTTTAAGAATATGATCTCTCAAGAAAAGAAAAAAAAGGCATTAATGGTTAACTGCTGACATCAAGCTAACAGTCACTAATCGAAGTAAAAAATATTATCACAAAACATAAAATCTTATAGAAACTCATTTGCTTTTCAGTGGTTTTCGGTTTTTGCCTGTCTTTTTGGCCGTGCTCTTCTTGGCATTCTTAGCGGCTTGTGCTTTTTGACTTTTTGCTTTCTGATTTTTCTTAACATTTTTCTTCTTCAACTTAAGTTTTCCACCCTTTTTCTTTTTTAATTCTTTCTTCATCTGTTCTTTTGCCTGGGCTTTCAGGATTAACTTCTGTTTCATTCGTAAGATTTCCCGTTTGGTCAATTCCCGTTTCTTTTCTTCCGTAGTTAGACTTGTGAAAGGAACTTTCTTGAACGCTTCATTGATTTCTTCTGGAACTTCTGCGGAGAAAACGAGGTCAGTGGGATTCGTAGCATAAGATTCTGCGCACTGAGCTTTTGTCTCTAGTTTGACTTCCTTTGCTATTTTTTTGCTAACATATTTTTCTCCGGCGGCTTTCTTCAACTGTTGACGATACTGGAAAAATAATAGGATAAAAATCAATCATACTACTCTGAACATCCCCAACACTAAGTACACTAAATAGTCAGGAAACACGCCATTTTTCCTCCTGCTTTTGACGATGAGGTTTTTCCCGCCAAATGGAATAGTCTGCCCATATACAACAATGTAAAATTGATCCGGTAGTTTTGCATTTGTAAGGACAAGAAACTTAATCTACTTAGATGTTGCTGTGACTACTGGCTGACTGGCTGCCATTGGGGGCTAAGATTCCTTACTTTGCAGACACTTGCACATTTGTAGGTAAAAATGAAAAAGATTGGAGAGAATAATTTTCATCAGCGTCAAAGGGATATGACAATTTCTCCTCCAAAAGTGGACCGCGTTTAGCAGAAAGGAACTGAGCCACATTAGCTATTACCAAATTTAAGTGAGCAATTCAATTTGTCACAAGAGAAAATTGGTGCAGATTTCTTTGAAAATTTTAAGGAATTTTCGTCATACTATGCAAAAAATTCACTGAAATTTGCACAAAAATCCGCACAACCGTTTTCATGTAAAAAATTAAATCGTCCAATTAAATTTGGAAACGGCTGATGTGGCTTCATTCCTTTCTGCTTGGCGCAGTCCAAATGACGATCAAAGCTGCAGATAAAAGAAGGAAGTGAGTAACTTTCTGGGGGTAAAATTACTTCACGATTAGAAAATCACTTTAAATTTCAGTGCTTAAAAAAATTCAACAGATGAGGAAGCTAAAATTTGAGTTTTTGTGATCACTCTCTTTGAAGAGAATTGCAGGAATGTTGAAATAAGCACTGTCAAATTCAATGAGGAAGTTACCTTAGCAGGGGAGATATAAGTAGGATTCGTCCACAGTGTGTCTCCTCCAAAACTATCGTTGAAAATCTTGATGGGATTTAAGGAAAACCTAGGACCTGAAAATTAAACAATGAAATCTTTAAAATAAAATGAAAGTAAAAAGTTAAAAACATGAAAGAGTTCTGGAGCTAAAATGAAAGATTAAGTGATTGAGAAAAGGTCTAGGTATCATGTCTGATTGATTGTAAAAGTAGGTCGGGGAAACCTAAATTGACAAAAAAATCTACTAAGATGAGACCAGCAGCGAAAGTCTGTGTTACAGCATCAAATGTGATTATAAGGATCATATCTTTCCGGAGAAAATTTTCCTTAAAGTTTTTTAAAACTTAGATAGATCATGTTTCTCTACAACCCACGATTTTTGCCTTTGGACTTTAGGGCTCATATTATCTCCTTCAATTTTTTAATTTTCAGGGTTCAACTTTCGCCAAAAATTCCAGTTTTTTCCCTCTATGCGTTTGCAAGAAGTGAGGGAGAATTTCTTGCTGTTAATTTATGTCTCTTTTCACAGATGTGGTCCCAAATATAAGTTTCTTTCAGATAAATTTGTCAGAAGAATGATTCACAAAATGAGAGGACCAGAAAAAAAGTCTTGGCAAGAAGGTGTTTCTTTTGCTTTGGCATCAAGCCTTACTATGGAGATATTTTTAATATTGTCTGTAAGCTCATGGGATATCCCAAAGGGAATTTTAAAAAAATTAAAGAAAATATAATAATTCAATATTTATCTTTCCGGCCAAACTTTTAGATTTGAAATTTTAATGAAATCTTGGTACAATATAATGGTATCTTGTACAGATACACATACAAAAAATCTAGAGTGAGCTGAGGAAAATACCGACCAATTTCAATTAATGCACCATCTTCTGCCAGAACTTGGTAGTTGCGGAACCATATCCTATTGTCGAGAACGGAGAAAGTAATGACGTGATCTACAAATGGGTGGCTTTTTGGATGATATCTTGGAACACCAAAAACCTGGAAATAAGATGAAAAGTTTGTGATTGAGAAGTTTGAAGATTGTGATCAACTAATAATAGAACTGGGAACAGAAAAGAAGAGACATAAGTCACATCAGTCTGGGTGCATCAATCATCAGTTGGCCAATTGGTTAGCATGTAAATATCTGTTGAATGGTGCAATTTTTGGATGTGACAGTTGTCTCTTCTTTTCTTTCCCCAGTTCTAGCATTTAAAAATTTTAATGAGCTGGCTCTGCCGAGGTGGAAAAATTTTACTACTTCAGCAAGGAAAATGTTAAAACTTTGCAATCTCACGGTGAATGCAAGTATGTATTTTTTTTAAAAAAAATTAGCAGAAAAGTTTCAAGTGGTAAGTTAAAAATTAAATAACTACAGTGAAACGACCAGACCACGTATCTCGGTTTGCAACATTGTAGACTTCCTGTGATACTTTATTTTTTAAATGAAAAACTACTCGACGTCAATTCTTGAAAACTTCCTGTGCAAAGAAAACTCTGTGAAAATTTCAAGTGATGATACTGATTTGTTCTCCTTCAAAGAAATTAAACGGGAGCGGAGATTTTTAAACACCACAAACGAGATGCATAGTCTAGTAGTTTCACCATCGACAGACACACTAGTATTGTTATTCTGATGTAATCGATACCTATGTGTTTTTCCCTCATCCTAAAAAGAATATATGGGATTTCCATGTATATGGTTTGAAACGGTACTGAGAGAAATATTACATGGCAGCTTAATTTCATACCTGAATGAATAATTCTTTTAAGACAGCGTAGTGAGGATACTTATTAAAATTTTCATCAAAAGAAAGGAGTGGCCGTGATCCTTTCAAGCAGTTACCCGTAAGTCGCATTTCTCTCAAAGTGAATACTGAAACAGAAGATTAAAAAAATAATAGCATAAATTTGTGGGGATATCTAGGATATGAATGATCAATTGGCTAGAAAGCTCTAATTAGCAGAGAAAAAAGGGTAGGTGGCAAGAGCACCATTCGAAAAGTAGCAGAACAAACATTTACCCAGCCTCCGATTTTGGACTTAGCCCGAGGAGGATTGCTGGGCAAGGCAATGAGAAAGGAAAGGAAGGAGAGAAAATCAGCAGAAGGAGTTTGAAGTGCATTTCCAATGTTGCAATAATTTCAGCGAAATTTGCACAAGGTACACATCAATGTTGGTTTACTGCGGAGGTAGACTTACTTCAATAAATTGCATTCTACACGTTTATCTTTTTGAACAAAATGACTCGACAAATGTATGCCTAGTAAATGACGAACAAAAATCCAGACAAGGCTGTTTCACTACTATTGAACAGACACAACGATTAGGCACTCACCGCTTTCAACTAAAAACTTTGCTGAGGGTCCTCCTTTGATATTTGAGATCCACATGTACAAATCTCTTCTTAGTCTGCCTTCAAAGAGAATGCATTTGTTGCAGTTTTCTGATTTGCATATCTGTAACAAAAAATGAATTAACTACTGATGAAAAGTAGATTTAAGAAATAGAGATACTTCAGGTACCCTCGCATTGGGTATGGACAGTTTTAGTGGTTACTTTACTCGATAAATCGATATTCAATTTTGGTGTCCTTAAAAAGCACAGCGAAACCATTGATATCAAAACAGTCAATTTTTTTTGGGTGGAACCAATGATTGAATGTATCGCATATCAAATAAAGTAGTCTAATAGTAGTGGTAGTAGTAGTGTTGCAAATTAGTCTATTGATTGCTATAAATAGCACATCCATTGCAATATTATAACCATTCTTCCTTACTACACGCACAAAAATAAACTGTGAGGATCGATAGATCATTTTTTTTTTTATTGAAAATGCTACTTTATAGCAATATTGATTCCAAAAGTTAAAACTTGCTTCAATTTCCTTTTATTGGGGAGACAAAAAAACAAAAAAAACAAACGATAAATGCTTGAAAATACATTTGTATCAATGCTAACTTTGAGCATTACGATTAACTGTAAAAAATAAATATACCTTCTTGAAACAGAACTAACTAATTCTATACCAACCAATTACAGAGAGACGTACTACTTTAATCATACGTAGGGTGTTTTGTCAAGATTTCTGATTTGGTTGAACTGGCATGCGACATATTGCACGCCAGTTTGACTACGCCAGAAATCATGAAAAATCATCTTCAACAACATAACGATGGTGTAAGTTGGCAACCACATAGCTCGGTTTGCGACGTCGCAGACTTCCTGTCATACCTTATTTTTTAAACGAAAAACTACTCAGCAGCAATTCTTTAAAGCTACCTTGATTTTTCTTCTCTGTGCAAAGAAAATTTTGCAAAAACTTCAAGGAATGATGTCAATTTGTTCTCCTTTAAGAAAATAACATAGAGGCTAATATTTTCAGACACCGCAAACAAGTTATGTGATTGCCAACTTACACCGTCGATAAGTCACTCCACAGATTACAAACTATTAGCCTATCTCTTTTGAGCAATGAAAGGTATGGAACCTACGGCGCACCTTTCTGCGGCGTCCAGACGCCGATGAATTTGCCTGATGGTCTAGCGTGAAGACGGCATTTCAGCAGCGGAGAGATGCTCTGATCTGTCACCAACAGATCCGGACGGAGACGTTGACAAGTTTCGCTTAGTCTGCTGTCTATCCTACCGACGTTTCAATGTGTTAAGTTTTGAGTTCGATCAACCGACCCGTGAATGGATCAACTAAAGGCGAGAATCGAACAACAAAAGCTGTGAATCGACTGACAAAGCTGGGAGTCGATCGAATTACGTCGATCAGTTGATGTTTTGGTTTTTTGATCGAGTCATGTCGATTGAATTGATAAGGGTTTTCATAAAATTTGGTGTCGATCAAATGGGTGACAATTGTTTCGCATCGATCAAATCGCCACCGGTTTGTTAATAATTTTTCCAACGAAGCAGTGTCGATCGATTTCCATTTTCATTTTTCGTTTGATTTTCGTCAATCGAATCCGTACCCTCCTGAAAAAAGCGCGTCTGATCATTTTCGCGTCTCAGGACATACTGGTTCGATCAAAAGAAATTCGAGAAATTGACGGTGGACGTAGCGGAAAAAATCCACCAATTCCGCTCCTTAGGTGCCGTGCTCCAAAATGTGAGCATCTTCTCACCCTCGACTCGGAAGCAGCGTTTTCCGCCGGCATCCAGATGCCGTAGAAAGATACGCTTTAGGTTCCGTACCTTGAGGCATGAAAACTGTGCAGGAAGTGAATAATAAAAATATATATTTTGATGTTCAGTGAAGATAAAACATTTCTTACCTCATTTAATTCAAATAATTTCTTTTTCTTTTCCATTTTTGAACCATATCGGGAATGAGGCATCATTGACAGTAAATCTTTCATCAGATGACGATCTATGTGAGATATACCTGGGGATGCAAATACTAAAATTCTTTGACGATTGATCCATTTCTCCTGAAAACAAGAGCAAAGCAGATTAAATTTATGAAAAGATTCTAAATTGACCATCATTTGCAGATGGTTACACCGCTGCTGTCCAAAAGCATTGATTGAGAGCAAATGTACTTGCATGCCAAAATACTCGTATTCATTGACGACAAACAGGAGTCAAAAGTGAAAGAACTGCCGACTTACAGCTCATGCATTGTATGTTGAGACAAACTAGGTAACAAACAAACAAAGTATTGTTTATGTCACCATTCACTAATAGTGCCACCTAACTACATGTATTCGCCTGTTGAGTGGTGCGAATTCAGAGCTAATCGGAGATTGACGTTTGTCTCAACATACAATGCGCAAGCTTTATCTGGGGGGGAGCTTCAAGAATTCATGTTAGTAAATAAATTAATTAACTTATGGATAGGTACAAAAGCTCAAACATCACAGTTTTTTCATGACGAGAAATTCACTCCTACCTTAAATTATATAATTCATCTTACACCGAGTTCCTGACAACTGTGCAAGATTACGAATATTTTCATCATAATACTCGGTGCTTACAAGGACAGTGAGATGGTAGGTATCATCAGCAAACTGTAAAACTCAATTCCTGTTTTCCCATTTTCAATTACCTACTTACTACTAAATTTTGCTGATGGGAAACTTGCTAATAAAATTTCATAATGAATTTGGAGAATATGCCAGGATACATGCGGGAGTGCCAAGCAAAATTGTTAGGCAGCAGTGCGTTCTTATCTACCTTCTCAAATTAGTAGGTCTTTTGATCTCATCATTTCATGCCAAAGCTTGGTTCTAACATTCAGACGGAAGAGTTGGAAAAATACGAAGAACTAAGAAGTACTTCGAGGACAGATCGACGCACACATAGTTACTCAGCATTGAGGAATTTTTACAACAGGGTCAACAAACTGGAATTTTAAGGCACTATTTCTACATTATGTGGTCGAGAGTAATGCTTAAAACGGGAAGCAGGAAGGAGCAGAGTGCACGAGTAATGGGTTCACAGAAATGGATAAGCTTCGCTTGAAGTTGGACATGGATGTTGCAAATCAGTACCAACTGAAATACTGACTTGAAAAATAAGTAACAGAGTAAAAGAGGAAATTTGGGCAGTTTTTCGTTTGACTTACGGCTTTCTTTTCGTATAGGACGTCAGAAGTCACAGTATTTTCCATCATGATTGTCACAAATTACAATTTCGATCAACACGTGTATCACATTTGTAAACATTGACAAAATGTGAGGTTAGGAATTCTTGCAGGTCCACGACGGTGCTGGTACCTAGCGGAACCATAGCAAAATACTGGATGAGTGTATCATATATTGCGTTTGTTGAAATTGAAGGGACTCTAAAGTTCTTCAGTCTAGTTTGGTAATTTCAAAGATGTGATCTAATTGTAAACTTTTTTTGATGGTTGAATGTGACAAAAAATGATATAATCAAGTATTTGTCTGTCTTTAGACACCTTAACTTTTTATTCTCTAGACTTAGAGCATAAATCGACTGAAATTGTCGTGATTTTTTCACAGAACGTATTGTATCCTCTTAGAATTGAATAGCAATGATTATGACACAGTATTAACTTCCCTCGTTAAAAATGGAATATAGTCGAGAGAAATTGAAATATAGTATATTCAGTGGTGTTTTTGAACTGACGCCATCAACATTGGTTTCTATCAAACAGGCGAGGAATTTCAAAGTACTTCAGTACTTACTTTCATCAAGGGCTACGGTGAGCTCAAGGAATTCTAATGATGTTAGCTGTTAAAAAAGACGTTCGGTAAAATTTACACGAGCAAGTCTTAAAGACAGAGAGAAAGACTATTATATAACAAGCTTCTTCTTTAAAGTTTTCTCGGAAAAGTCCAATTTTGAAATCTTCAGTAACAGGTATATTTTTCAGAATAATTTTAGCTCTTTGTACACTTAAATTTCACCTCTTGTGAATTTCAATTAAAAAAATGGAGCAATAAGTGAAAGAGTTTTTAAAGAGAGCATAGACTTTTTAAAATGTGTGTGTTTTTTTTTAGTCTCCTTTGGGGTATTGTTCGGAATAAATTGAAATGTCACAACTTCGAACATGTACGACTGATTTTTTTTCCTCAGGGCGAAGGGTCTTCTTTGGGGTTTATCGGGGACTTTCATCCCTCGAGGTTTGCGATAAATCGATTGATCTGCCATTTAAACCTATGGAAAAGAATCGACAAACAGGGTTTTCGCAACGAGCACCTTAATAATCGATTCTTTACCATAGCTTCAAAATGGGAAATATCGAAAATAGATCATCCACGCCTCGCCTTTGTACCGCTCCTCACCGATGTGCTAATTACAAACGTCGTATGAACATTCACACGTTGTCAAATGTATTCTAATAAAACACACATTTTCTGAAGGCTGGCTGTATCACTTCTGGAGAATAATTTCTACATTTCATTCTGATATAACTGAAAATTTCAAGGGAAAATATTCATAAATTTATTCATAATTCAAAAAGTAAATAATATATCGGGAAGAATTTGGTATCCTCCGTTTGTGAATATGGTGGAATCCCGCAGCACGTCCATGGCTGGAAAACGCATCTCCGTTGCGGTGTCTCAAAATCTCTGCTCCTCTTTTAATTTTTCGAAGAAAAACGATGTAATCGAAATTTCCACGGAATATTTTGCCGATAGAGAGGAAGAATTAAGGAGGTTTTCAAGAAATTAAGTTTGCTAGATCTCTAATGAAAAAAATAAAGTATCAACAGAAGTCTGCAACGTCGCAATCGGAGATACGTAGTTTAGCAATATGGCCATCGACGTGTGTTGCCGTGCTTCGGAAGAGTGCCGGATGACTATTCGAATATTGCGGCAAATTTCTTCCGATGAAATATTTACTCTCGAAGAAAATTACAAATATTGTCCTTGAAATTTTCAGGTGTGTTAAAACAAATCGGAAAGTGTCTTTTTAAAAATTTCAAAGGAAAATAGCCGCAAGTTTTCTATGAAATTCGTCATTTTTTTCATAAGAAACTCGGCAACGTCTCAATGTTCATACGGTATTTGTTCTTACTGCCGTGCTGAGGAAAAACATAGTATGCTCGTTCGGACGCCGCCAAATTCCTCGAGACGATTTTTTTTTTAAAGTGAAGCTGTGTTTATTTTCTTTAACCATTTTCAGCTGTACTTTAGGTCAAATTGTAAATTGCGATATTCAAAAAAAAAATCGACGAAAAATTTGCACTACACTGAAAAAAAAAAAAAAAAAAAAAAAAAAAAAAAAAAAAAAAAAAAACTCATTAGATCTAGAGTCCAGACTCTTGAAAACATCGACAAGACAAAATACTCTTGATTCAATCGGATTTTTGCTCAAATCAAGAACCAAGCCTCTTAATTTGAGCGGATTTTTTTTTGATTTAAGCTTAAATCTGATTGAATCAAGAGTATTTTTACTTGTCAATGTTTTTAAGAGTCTGGACTCCAGATTCAATGTGTTTTTTTTTTCAGTGTATATCTGAAAAAAATTCGACTTTTATCAGCGGAAATGTGGCAACATGTGCTTGCTCATGAGTCGTTTTTCCTTAGCACGACATCTCAGCTCGGAAGCGCGGAGGACTGCATCCTGTCGCGTCGCTGCGTTATCTCCTTGGGCGGTGGGCAAAGAGAGGGTTGTGTAACACGCATGAGTAAGGCGTTATCGTCGCGTCAAGGTGTACAAACCTCCCGCTCCGCGAGCAATAGTATCTGGAAAAAAAAAAAAAAAAAAAAAAAAAAAAAAAAAAAAAAAATTATTTATTTTCGGGTCTGAATAAGCTCTCGAAAGCTGGCTCTGAAGACGGCGGGCGATCCTGCAAGTAGGACCAAGAGGTGGGTCCCGGAGATAAGATAAAATACCGCCGATGGGCGCCGCATCCCAGGCAACGCCACGATGAGTGCTTCACAGGTGTGTTCCAGCGTTGAGTCCCCAAGAGGATCCCAGGTTTCGGCCCTCGAAACACTCGTAATTAGTTTTAGGAAACAAATTTGTGCAAAAATCCTGGTTTTATGGTAATTTTTCTTCGCCGTGTTTTTTCAAAATTTTGGACCGTTTATTTTTATTTTTTATTTTGGGTTATCTCTCGTGTTTTACTTATGTAGTAATCTGTGCGAATAAATTTGGTAATTTTTTATCGCCGTGTTTCCCCGAACTTCTGGACAGTTTTTCATTTTATTTTGGGTTATCTCTCGTATTTTCCTACCGATACTGATGGATAGTAATCTGTGCGTTTAAATTTGATACGCAATGGATTATAGTTGCGGTTCTCTACATTTTCTCGATTTTTCGGACAAAAATCTACGCGAAAAAACGCATCTTTAAATTTTATTGACGATAATTTGGGTGAAAAAAGAGTGTTTAGTTTGTGTTTGATTCGAATTTTTTCAATATCTCTCTCTTAAACCTCCATCGTTTACCTCAGTAAATTCTAAACAACCGGATATTTCGGAAATAAGGCTGAAAATTAATCTCTCATTTCGTCGGGAAGTGTTACCGTTGTACAGTGATACTACGGCTTTGGCGCGTTCAAAAATGGCGAAGTCACCCGGGTACCTGTGAATTTTCCTCCCATCTCAATGTTTTTCAAATTTTGACCGGCACAAAAGACGGGCCAGAATGTCGAGACAAGACAGAATATACAACATTCTGAAATACTTATGGATAAATATATTTGTGCTTTCTGTTGTTGTGTGTGATGAAAACGTGGTGCAGTGTAAGAGTGGCCTGGCGTGCCAATCTCAAAATCCGGAATTTTTGGACGTGGTGTTGCGGAGATCTCGGAGAGCGCCTCAAAATTTCGGTTTTCAGCAGCAGGGCCAGAATCAGTTCAGCCGACCCTACATCCCGCAAGTCAGGCCGTACTTCACTCAAAGTTTTGGTGAGTTTCAATCCGTTTCGACTAGAGGCGGATTTAGCAATTTGGCAACACCGCATTCTCTCCATTTAAATCTATGTTAAATAATCGATTCTTGTCGGAGCACCTGGCCCTTCCAAGAATCGATAAGTTTCCATAGGTTTAAATGGAGAAAAACAATGTTGCCAATATGCTGGATCCGCCCATGGTTTCGACCTGTATTACTTTACGTGAAATATAAGCATAGCTGGGAAAATATTGTGGGGACAAAGGATCCACTCACCCTTCAAAAAGATTTACTAGTAATGAGCGACTGCGTACAATGAAAATGTATCTGGGGGGGAACAAGGAGCTCCCCCTCCCCTCCGACTCTCGTAGTAACACATCAAGTCAAATCCTGAAATCAAAGATGGAACAAAAAGTATGGACCAGTTCGGAGATTTTCGATTCAATCGTAATCTACAGTCTCTAGCCTTCAATCCTCAGTAGAAAAATAAGTGACTCGAATTAAGCAGAGATATTCTCGAATTTGCCGCCAAGAAGATTTTCTCTTGAATTATGTGGGGTTGTGCTTGATATAAGCGACTTCCTTCCAGGATAAGCACTGTCCTCCTTGATTCCGGAGTAAATCTTCTAGATGGCACATTTAATCATACCTAGCTCTGCTTAAATCAAGTCACTCTTTATCCAGTTCTACACGAGATCGCCCAAGACAGGCTTGTGCTTACTCGATGCGGTGGAGAAGTTGCCTGGCCTCAATAATTGAAGGGGCTTCGGAAAATTGTCATGAAGGATGGTGTCCTATTTCACACCTCATCTGTTGTATTAATAGTTTTTAACATCAATACCAAATCGCTCAACTGCTAATAACCCTTGATGACCTTTTTTCCCCAGGCTAAACCGTCATACCTCAGTTTTTGAATCTCTTGATGCTTTTATGACGATACATTCTCTAAGTTTTTCCGTTAGTAAGTAAACGGTTTGTGAAAATGGAGACATTGACATTTGATGTCTAATTAAAGTGCATAATTTTAAATTTTACATTTTAGTGTTACTAATAAAAGTTCCACTCTGACAGTGGTGCCGAAGAAATAGGTTGATGTAGTTAGGTCAGAAATCACGGCTTTTTCTCGGTGCGGATGATGTCACCAACCGAAAATGACTCACACTAGGAACCGGAAATGAGCATTTTCTGATGAGCAATGCAGACAGTTACACCGCTGCAATACTTTTTCATCTGAATCACACTACACTAAAACGACTCTTATCGAATAATTCGAATTTTCGAAAAAAGACAAAAAGTCGTTAAGAAGGATTCTAGAAACAGATGAGCTTGGAAAGTTTCAGTTGAAACCTGTGGTGGCACAT